TGTTAAATGAAGTTACTTCAAAAAGAGGATGTATTTCGGATTACTGCTGTTTCCTTACTTAACTAATCTAACCTTTGATCTAACTTGATCCAGTCTTTCATCACCTTTAACGGAATAGGGTGAACATAACTCATATACTGTATGTTAACATGTGCTTTGTGGTTATTATGTCTTCATGAAACGATTATCATATCCTTGCTGACTCATCAAGTGGTACAGGAAAATCTAAATTACTGGAACTAAAAAAGTTAGATATTTCCATTGAATCTCACTTGGCCTCGCTCCCCACAAGCTATTCTCATTCAGACAAAAGTCGACTAAACTTTCCACCTCACCCACGCTTCATCAGCACACTCAGGGGGACTCAAAGCCGGGTAGTGCATAGTACAATCTCGACATGCTATAGGCGGGTCGTGAGTGCAGTCCATCCTGCGAAAAGTCATCGTAAAGTCAGCTCGTTTCACTGTAGGATGAGCTCAACTATCACTCCTTAAATCACCAAAAACCAAAGCATTCTGTATCTATCTATATCTATATATTTTCGGTTGTCCCATGTAGGATATAGCTGGAAAGTCTTCTTGACTCAGATAAAAATAAAAATAGCGTTCCGAAGAATTCCAATGTTAACAGAGTACTTTTAATAAATGAGTTGCAGATCTGAGACTGTTCCTCATAGGAAAAATGAAAATTCAGCCCACTTCAATCCGAAACGGGGGAAGAATGTCCCGTGAATCGCGTCAACCACGACGTCTAATAGAATAAAAACGGTTGCAGAACAACGGAAATTAACCTTCGCATTCTCGTTGAATCGAACTACGAATCACTTCATCATGCACTTTCATACGAAGAAAATTCACCACAACAATGTTATCTCACAGAAATCATCGAAGCCCAGCTACTCTTCGTATGGCTTTAATACGATTTTCTGGTTGACATGCTCCACAGGACATTCTACACCAATTCGGGTGAAACTGGCTGAAGCTTCATCAGTCATATGACAAGCATCACCAGAGCTGGAACTTATTCTTTCAACAACTTCAATTTGACACCAAATCAAGAAAACTTGCCGGCTATATTTTACATGATATAATTATATGTATACTTATAAGTGAAGACTGAAATATTTACTTATATTAATCAGGTTAATTATACATCTCTCATCATCAACATCTCGCAAGCTGAATCCTCTTGTTCTGCAGTTGTTTTTCCTTAAATTTAGTTACGATTATCGCAGTTTAGAGTGAAATGGACTGGGCTTTTGTTCTTCACGCCATTTGGCCGATATCGTCAGAGCTGGAATTCATTCTTGTAAAGCTTTATTTTAGCACTAAGTCAAGAAGACTAGTCCTACATGCTATATAAACCTACAATTAAAAAGAAAATATACAAATATACATGGATAAATAATAATTTATTTACTGGTTGTATGACCTTGTTTTCGCAGCTTGGTCGTATTGTTAGGAAGACCTAGATAAACACACCTCGCTCGGAGTTTATAGTATGTATGCTGATTTCCAGAGTCGGGCTGCGGTCTTGATACATTCCCAGACATCGTGAGTGGGCCATGCCAGTCTTAGCAACACGACACAACTCATCAAAGAGACAAGTGAAGTCGATCCAATGACCAATTGTCGGCCAAACAGTTGTGGTACGTCTCCTTCTGCTCTGGGCTATTCCCCATTCCTTTATCCTCGTATCACCCCTTCAATATCACAATTTATGACTTGCTTATTTAAATGTGGTAGGGTGTGCTCTTTAGAGCCGGTTCAAAGAGACATCTTCGCACCCCTCCCCCACCCTTGTACTGGGAATGTTGATATTAGTCGGCCCTATTAGTCCGCAATCCTCTCTCTTGCTTCGTGGGATCTGTCTCTTGTCTTTCTGGTTCTGTCATACACTTCGCCTCAAGTCGTTGCCGGCATGTATCATCCAGCCTCACTGAGCACAACCCCACAGTCTGGAGTCTCAAGCTGGATGGGAGAATAACTTGAGGCTATAGGTCCCCTTACACGAGATGTATTCACCCTATTTCGTTGAATGGGATTGCTAATTAAATATTCCCGCAATGATATGAGTAGACCTTACGTTTCCATCGAATTTCACAAAATATATTTTCACCTCATTCATACAATTTACTGGTAGTCTCGAAACTCTACTTTTATGCGAAAACTATATAGATTCCCTTGTCACCGTGCGACAGGTGTCCCGGACCACGATATGAGCAAACGCGTCTACTCTTATTTAACATTAGATAAATAGGTTTTCAAGACTACCAGTAAATTGCATGTATGAGGTGAAAATATATTTTGTGAAATTCGATGGAAACGTAAGGTCTACTCAGATCATTGCGGAAAAATCTAATTGCCAGTCGCCTTAGCACCTAAAACTAAATAGAGCAATTACATTTCATATATAAAGATTAACGTGTCTACCGAGTAAACAACACCTATGAACAAGATTATGAGAAAAGAATTAAAAAAATAAAAAATTCTATTAACTTGCCGCAGTCAATTTTGTCGAATTATCGTAAATGATGACTTTTGGTTCAGACAATTTCCATCACATGACCAACGAAAGTTTGGCACGGACTTATCGGTGTCGCATGACAGTAGCCGAAGTGCTCCGTGTAAAATGGCTGAGCCAATTATAATTTGGTGTAAAGTGAGGCCAATTTACGAAACCATTCCAGCTGCCTTTCAAACAAAACGAAAGACATATCAACATTAATCTTGCAAAAGATTCTTAAAAGCATGACTTTTTGGGATTTCCTATTTTTTTCCCTTAACATTCAGACGTAGCCGGAGCCTCGGGAGTCGCATCTCTCAGCCCCGCTGACCGGCAATTTGCCTCCGCAACCAGCAGGTCCGAGGGCAGGTCTCATCCACTGCTCGAGCCATCTCCGGTCGCCGGCCGGTCTGACGCCTGGTCGCCAGCTTCCTCGTGTCTCTGCGGCGGAGGCGGAGGCGGAGGCGGCAGCAGAACCGGTGCTGACGGCGAGGCAGGCCTGCCGAGGAGGCGGCGAGAAAGTGGGACGGCGAAACTGGCCAGACTGAAAAGTGTCGAGAAGGGAAGAAGTGCCTCGGAAGAGAGCCGAAAAAAGCGGTGGGCAGACACTTTTGAGGCGGAAGAGGATGATGAGCATGTGAAGGAGGCCAGAGAGGAGGAGGACGAAGATGGAGAAGAGGAGGAAGAGGAAGAAGACAGCCGAGAAGAGAGGCAAGTGAAGGGCGAATGTGTGAGAGAAGCCGAACGAAAAACAGCGCATGTAGAGGAAAAAGAGGACATTAAGAAAGAATTCGACAACTTCAAGATGTACGCACCGAAGGGACCGGTTGCGATGATACCTTTTGCCAGAGGACAATATCGTTCCGAGATTTTAGACGTCCGGCTCGACGCTGCTGACGGCAAGCGAACCTGGAAGGGGACCAGATTTTCTGCAACCGGCTTGGCAAGTTCTGTAGAAGAGTGTCAACGACATGTTGCCAAAGACTGGACGACGAAGGAGATGTGGGATCAAGAGATGATGAAGCGAGCAGTCGCCGGAGGAGGAAAGAGGACAAACGAACAACTGACAACGGATTCGGCAGAAGATGTAAACGGCGCTCAAGAAGAGAAAGGGAAGAGGAAACGACACAGTAAGGATGTGACGAAACACTGGCCCACAGCAACCGATGGGACAAGCGAGCCGACCGGCAGGGAGCATAGGGAGTTGATGGGAGATGAGCAAGAGTGGCGCGCTGATCAGCTGGGCAAACTGGGCGAGTCGGAGGAGGATTGGGAGAAAGGCACGAGGGCAGCAGAACCAACGAC